ATGCCCAGTAAACCTAAGTCTCTGACAAGAGCTATGTTTCTAGGTTTCATTTTAATATTATTCTCTCCCTTGCTTCAGAGCTCTAACAAGCTACTTTTTATATCATTTCCCTACATAAATTACTACAATAACCTCCATTATCCCTCATGTAAGTTAACTGTGTTTCAAAAGGGAACATATTATTTTGGAATTAAAATTTTTAATAAACTTCCATCTAATATAAAAGACCAAGCTCATGAGATTAAAAATTTAGGTCTGCTGTTAAAAGATTCCTAATTTTAAATTTGTTTTAATCATTGGACGAATATTTCAACTGTGACAACAATTAAAGTTTCGGATCTGTTAAGGGTAGTAGCTGATAGCGCTTTATTGTTCATGTTGTGTATTGTTAATATTTTTATATGGCTAACTGGTATGACATTACACAATTGTGATCATGTTTACTCATGTTGACTATTTCTATATCCACTGGTGTTTAACCATGTAAGGATTTATGGAATGCTGTATAAATGAATGACTCACATGGTCACTATGACATTTTTCAACTACCACCTTTCTAGGGCTGCTTAAGTATTTTTATTACTTCTTTTCCTGACCTCCTGGTCTCCAAAGAGTTTCACCTTGTTTTCTCAACCACATGGTTGCTACCTATAATACAGCATCCCAATTACAGCCCACTGCCATATTTACATAACGTTTCTGAACCAAAAATCATAACCGTGAAGATGGCAACTTCAGTATTTGTCAAAACGATGGGAAACACTCAAATTTCTACACTGTCTAAAAGCCAAACTCATGCAGTGTTCTTTCATTAACACATTATATAATATACACATTCATAGAATTACCTTCAACTTCATAACCATTTCCTAGACCAAAGCTTAAAGGCTGTAGGTTACAAAATCTCAACCCCGCAGGAGGGTCTACTTCCAGGGATGATGATCCCGTGTGCAGAGACTGGCGAAACTAAAAATCCAAACATCACATTACTGACATATGCATAACGTTTGTACCTAGAACTACATATTACAATACTTATTTTCATAGACGCTTACCCCACCGTTAGGATTCTTTTTAATTTCAACAGGGGCACTGGCTTGTTCTCCTATCTTATTCATGGCTGGTTTATTACTGTTAACTGCGGACGAGAAAACACACAAGTTGTGAATTTCAGGGGCCCAAAGTTTTACATCTACCGTTGCTAGGGTTGCTAACACCAACTACGCCAACTACTATCTCTTCCATATTCCTTTACTGTTGCAGTATACCACGGATCTCTAAATACAAAACCAAATAACATCCGATAACCCATGATCATTACCACGGATACGACAGGACTACGGATCAGAAACGATGATTATGGGCTCTTGCTCGCAGAGTTTGACAGTAACACATGGATGGACAAAATCGTCTAAATGGTCCAAAATGCATTAAGCCTATATCCTGCGCCATTTAACAAATATCGTGGAACTGAGCTCTTCTTGAGAAGTAGCCAGTTGTGAAGCTACTCAAGAAATTCTCAGAAATTTATGGAACCCAAGGTATTTTTTATTGTAGAAAAAATATTGTAAATACAAAAAAGGCCTAGGAAATGCCCATGTGGCCTTCTATAAAACATTCTTATAAACATCTTATTCTATAATAGCGGCAACACCGCGATTCTTAATATAGATCTTAACTTAAATCTGGGAGTATACTGTTTTAAGTTAAGATCTATATTAAAAATCGCGGGGTTAGGACCGCGCCATAGCCCAAGCGGTTAGTCGCTGCCGTCCCACCGCGGCGGCCCGGGCTCGATCTCAGTGCCTGGTCAGGTGGGATTTGTGGGGCGGGTTTTCTCCGAATACTTCGGTTTCTCTTGCCAATCTTCATTCCACAAAATTCTCCATCATCATAATCATCCGGGGCAGGCTACAATAAGTCAATCAGTGGCCGCCGTGCGGAGTGGACCCAGTTGGACTCCACCCCCCCCCTAGGCGAAAAAAAAATCGTGGAGTTACAGTTATTATAGAATAATAATAAACACAAAGGTTTATTACCGTGTTCACAAGAGCCCTCTACTGAACCAGAGCAATCCAGCCCACAGCAGCCCATCCTATCTCCGAGGTGCCCCGATCGGTCCAATGACGAGTATGGTCGTCATGGCCAAAGTACCCCGAATCGGACAGTCGGGTATTTAATCTCCGCTAGTGGAAGCGCATGCACAGTTCTAAATATCTATTTTTAAATGTATTAATTACCACACCGACTTGAGTAAAACCCTAATAGAGGAATTAAAATGATATCTAAGTGAACAACAACAAAAAACAGTATATGTATGAGTTATGCCCAAACTCATCCATGAGCCAATACTTTCATTGCAGATTCTGCCGATTAATGTGTTAAAATATATAGTAAAATTCGATGTACATACCTTTTTTGTTGTTATTTGCTAGATTAATGTATAGGCTGAAATGAAACTACAGTATTCGATTTCACTATGAACGCACAGAAAACAGATCACACTCTGTATCTCCACCATGATGCGACTGTCTGTTCATGACCCTAGAAGGGGCAATAATCTCTTGAAGCTACAATAGAAGGTCTTAACACTGGAAAAGGGACCCCTATAGCTTTTTCTTGAATAGCCATCCTTTCATTCTTCTGTCTTTTAGTCAAAATATTCGAAAATCTGAAATGTGTAAACAGTGCTAGCAGAAAATGATTTTATTGCTTCCATCTGTTTTATGACACCAGGGACTGCTAAAATATGTCAAGTGTTACAAGCAGGACTGATTTTATAATGCAGAACAACTCTGTGAAGAAAGGGGAAACCATTTTTACAGTACGCATAAAAATTGAAAGAAAAAAAATTGAAAAGTGTATAACTCTTTGTATAAAAATTTTCAAATCTTATGTTATAATATGAGACACTATGTTCTTTGCTGATACAAAGTGAATTCCATCCATACAATCCCAAATCACAAGCCTCTAAGTCGGGAACACAGACTGAGGGTGTTTGAGAACAGAGTGCTGAGGAAAATATTTTGATCGAAGAGAGATGAAAGTGATGGGAGGTTGGAGAAAACTACGTAATGTGGAGCTTCACAACTTGTACTCTTTGCCAAGTAATCAGAATGATCAGGTCAAGGAGGATGAGATGGGCAGGGCATTTAGCATGAATGAGAAGAAAAGGAACACATATAAGATATTGGTGGGAAAACCAGAAGGAAAGAGACCACAATGAAGACCAAAACACAGATGGATGGACAATATTAAAATGAATCTTAGAGAGATAGGATGGGATGGTGTGGCCTGGATTGATCTGGCTGATAGGGACCAGTGGAGGGCTCTTGTTAACACAGTACTGAACCTTTAGGTTTCATAAAATCCTGGGAAGTTCTTGAATAACTGCACAATTGGTTGCATCTAAAGAAGAGCTCAGCTCCATGAACGAATGACTCACTTTCAGGGCACCAAACAGTTACAAATAATGTGTCTCAATTTGCTATTAATAACGTAATTCATGTGCTATTTGGTATTCTGTAATGTCCATGTTTATGCTAACCGTCTTACAGTGCATACACTTTTTTCACCTTATTCTTCTCTTTTGCACTACGTTTCAGCACTAATGTTCCATCTTCAGGTGCGTTTTCTCTATGCACGTCTAACTATTGCATTGCATGCCCTGATGTCTTCATACTAAAATGACTAAAATATATATTCGTCATATATAATAATAGATTTTAAA